AGCTAAGATCCTGTGGGACTTCCAGATACAGACGGACAAAATGGTGGTGGCTAACCAACCGGACATAGTGGTGGTAGACAAACAGAAGAAGACGGCCGTAGTGATCGATGTAGCGGTTCCGAATGACAGCAATATCAGGAAGAAGGAACACGAGAAGCTGGAGAAATACCAAGGGCTCAGAGAAGAGCTCGAGAGGATGTGGAGGGTGAAGGTAACGGTGGTCCCCGTGGTAATCGGAGCACTAGGTGCGGTGACTCCCAAGCTAGGCGAGTGGCTCCAGCAGATCCCGGGAATAACATCGGAGATCATCTTATATATATATCATATACATATTGAATATATAATAGTTATATACTATATATATATATATATATATACATATATATATATATCATATATATATATATATTCTATACATATATATATATATATATATATATATATATATATATATATATATATATATATATACTTTATATATAGCAGCTGGATAGCGTAGTGGTTAGACTACACGCCTTTGGAGCAGAGGATCGCAAGTTCGATTCCTGCCTGGGGCGTCTGTATCCAGTAAGGGTCCTAAGGCTAGACCCCCTATGCTAAGCGAGCCTACCGCAGACATGAGCGAGACAGATAAATATGAAGGCATGCCGGCTCGGACGTCGCCCGGATCAACAAGGTCCGCGTCAGGTGTTGAGGAACCAGGGCACCCTGACGAAACAATGGGCTACTGGAGACAAAAGTGCCGGACTGAGCGACTACCAACCTGTGCACTGCCTGGATTGATTACAAGAAGGCCTATGACTCAATGCCCCACAGCTGGATACTGGAATGCCTTAGAATTGTACAAGATCAATGGGACCCTAAGAGCCTTCATCAGGAACTCAATGGGGATGTGGCGTACAACACTAGAGGCCAACTCCAAGCCCATAGCACAAGTCACCATCAAGTGCGGGATCTACCAAGGAGATGCTCTGTCCCCACTGCTGTTCTGCATAGGCCTGAACCCCCTCAGTGAGATCATTAACAAGACTGGCTACGGATACCGACTACGGAACGGAGCAGTTGTCAGCCACCTCCTGTACATGGATGACATCAAGCTGTATGCCAAGAGTGAACGAGACATCGATTCACTGATCCACACTACCAGGCTATACAGCAATGACATTGGAATGTCGTTCGGACTGGAGAAGTGTAGTCGGATGGTAACAAAGAGAGGGAAGGTAGTCAGAACTGAGGGGATTGAACTACCAGAAGGCAACATTGCAGACATAGAGGACAGTTACAAGTACCTGGGGATCCCGCAGGCGAATGGGAACCATGAAGAGGCCGCTAGAAAGCTGCAACCACCAAGTACCTGCAGAGGGTCAGGCAAGTCCTGAGGAGTCAGCTGAATGGTAAGAACAAGATCCGGGCCATCAACACGTACGCCCTGCCCGTGATCAGGTACCCTGCTGGGGTAATAGGCTGGCCAAAGGAGGAGATAGAAGCCACTGACATAAAGACAAGAAAGCTCCTTACCATGCATGGAGGGTTTCACCCCAAGTCCAGCACCCTGAGGCTGTACGCTAAGCGGAAGGAAGGGGGCCGGGGACTGGTGAGTGTCAGCACCACAGTCCAGGATGAGACAAGGAAGATGGCCCCAACTGACCGAGTGCTCAGTGAATACCTCAGGCAGCAGAAACCCAAGAAAGAGGAGGGAGACGAGGAACCATCATGGAAGGACAGGCCCCTGCACGGTATGTACCACCGGCAGATAGAGGAGGTGGCTGATATCCAGAAATCCTACCAGTGGCTGGACAAAGCTGGACTGAAAGACAGCACAGAGGCACTAATCATGGCAGCACAAGAACAAGCTCTGAGTACAAGATCCATAGAGGCTGGGGTCTATCACACCAGGCAAGACCCCAGGTGCAGGCTGTGTAAAGATGCCCCAGAGACAATCCAGCACATAACAGCAGGGTGCAAGATGCTAGCAGGCAAGGCATACATGGAACGCCATAACCAAGTGGCCGGCATAGTGTACAGGAACATCTGTGCCGAGTATAACCTGGAAGTCCCGAGGTCAAAATGGGAGATGCCCCCAAGGGTGGTGGAGAATGACCGAGCTAAGATCCTGTGGGACTTCCAGATACAGACGGACAAAATGGTGGTGGCTAACCAACCGGACATAGTGGTGGTAGACAAACAGAAGAAGACGGCCGTAGTGATCGATGTAGCGGTTCCGAATGACAGCAATATCAGGAAGAAGGAACACGAGAAGCTGGAGAAATACCAAGGGCTCAGAGAAGAGCTCGAGAGGATGTGGAGTGTGAAGGTAACGGTGGTCCCCGTGGTAATCGGAGCACTAGGTGCGGTGAACTCCCAAGCTAGGCGAGTGGCTCCAGCAGATCCCGGGAATAACATCGGAGATCTCTGTCCAGAAGAGCGCAGTCCTGGGAACAGCTAAGATACTGCGCAGGACCCTCAAGCTCCCAGGCCTCTGGTAGAGGACCCGAGCTTGAAGGATAAACCGCCCGCAGGGGCGTGCTGGGTGTGTATATATATATATATATATATGTATATATATATATATGTATATATATGTGTGTGTGTGTGTATGTAAATATTAATAATATTTAGTCAAATATTAAAAACAGTCTTATACTTGACTGAGTTACTGAAGATACTTTTTGTTAAATAGGATCAACATTTATTGTTATAAAGAATGCATGACCACATATTACTTACAATGCTTTGTTGGAGGCTTTGACCACTGGCAGCAGCCTCAGAAGAGCCTCCTCTGAATGCAGAGAATTTCCTTTAAGTCACAACACATATCTCTCTTTTATATATGTATATATATATATATGTATATATATGTGTGTGTGTGTGTGTGTATGTAAATATTAATAATATTTAGTCAAATATTAAAAACAGTCTTATACTTGACTGAGTTACTGAGATACTTTTTGTTAAATAGGATCAACATTTATTGTTTAAAGAATGCATGACCACATATATACTTACAATGCTTTGTTTGAGGCTTTGACCACTGGCAGCAGCCTCAGAAGAGGCTCCTCTGAAGCAGAGAATTTCTTTAAGTCAAACACATCCAGATCTTTTTCTGATGACAGTAAGACGAAGACCAGAGCTGACCACTGAGAAGGAGACAGCTCATCTGTGGAGAAACTTCCTGATCTCAGAGACTGTTGGATCTCCTCCACTAGAGAACGGTCATTCAGTTCATTCAGACAGTGGAACAGATTGATGCTTTTCTCTGCAGACAAATTCTCACTGAGCTTCTCCTTTATGTACTGGACTGTTTCCTGATTGGTTTGTGAGCTACTTCCTGTCTGTGTTAGAAGACCTCTCAGGAGAGTCTGATTGGTCTGCAGTGAAAGACCCAGGAAGAAGCGGAGGAACAAGTCCAGGTGTCCATTTGGGCTCTGTATGGCCTTATCCACAGCACTCTGGAAAAAAATGAGCATGTCAAAAGATTGACTTCTTTTGAACTTCTGGGAGGTTGTTTGTTGTTCTTCTAGCACATTGACCCCAGAGTTAATGAAGGTCAGATGGACATAAAGAGCAGCCAGAAACTCCTGAACACTCAGATGGATGAAGCAGAACACCTTCTCCTGGTACAGTCCTCTCTCCTCTCTAAAGATCTGTGTGAACACTCCTGAGTAAACTGAGGCTGCTATGATATCAATGCCACACTCTATCAGGTCTGATTCATAGAAGATCAGGTTTCCTTTCTGCAGCTGATCAAAAGCCAGTTTTCCCAGAGACTCAATCATCCTCCTGCTCTCTGGACTCCAGTGTGGATCTGTCTCAGCTCCTCCATCATACTTCACCTTCTTCACTTTGGCCTGAACCACCAGGAAGTGGATGTACATCTCAGTCAGGCTCTTGGGTAGCTGTCTTCCCTCTCTGGTTTCCAGCACATCCTCCAGAACTGTAGCAGTGATCCAGCAGAAGACTGGGATGTGGCACATGATGTAGAGGCTTTGTGATGTCTTGATGTGGGAGATGATTCTGCTTCCCTTCTCCTCATCTCTGAATCTCTTCCTAAAGTACTCCTCCATCTGTGGATCAGTGAACCCTCTGATCTCTGTCACCATATCAACACATTGTGGAGGGATATGATTGGCTGCTGCAGGGTGTGTGGTTATCCAGATGCGAGCAGAGGGAAGCAATTTCCCCCTGATGAGGTTTGTCAGCAGCACATCCACTGAGGTGGGCTTTCTAGGGTCAGTTAGGATTTCATTTTTGTGGAAGTCCAGAGGAAGTCGACACTCATCCAGACCATCAAAGATGAACACAACCTGGAAGTCTTCAAAGCTGCAGATTCCAGCTTCTTTGGTTTCAGTAAAGAAGTGATGAACAAGTTCCACCAAGCTGAACCTTTTCTCTTTCAGCACATTCAGCTCTCTGAAAGTGAATGGAAATATAAACTGGATGTCCTGGTTGGCTTTGCCTTCAGCCCAGTCCAGACTGAATTTTTGTATTAAGATTGTTTTCCCAATACCAGTCACTCCCTTTGTCAGCACTGTTCTGATTGGTTCATCTCTTCCAGGTGAGGCTTTAAAGATGTCTTCACGTCGGATTGTTTTTTCTGGTCTGTCTGGTTTCCTGGATGCAGTTTCAATCTGTCTGACCTCATGTTCATCATTGACCTCTGCAGTCCCTCCCTCTGTGAAATAGAGCTCTGTGTGGATCTGATTCAGCAGGGTTGGGTTTCCTGCTTTAGCAACCACCTCAAACACACACTGGAACTTCTTCTTCAGCTTAGATTTAAGTTTACGAGGACAAACTGTAACAAGATGTTCTAAAAAAAAAAAAGTAGAATATGAGTCATTTTTTTAAGTAGTGCAAATTACAGTTTTATTTTCTAAAGCATTACCCTTGAAAATATGTCTCTCCCTCTGCTGAGCCATAAATAAATACTCCATTTATCACCAGCAGCTTAACACTTTAGATAAATCCTCTTACTTCTATGCAGACGGTCAGCCAGCTTCCCCTGCTTCTTCCTCCTCAGGAAGTCCAGTGTAATCTTCACAACTGACACTCTGCTTCTGCTCCTCTGCTCATCATCCTCCACCTGACTCTCTAAGCCTTCTGGGTAATCTGAACTCAGAAACGTTTGAATCTTCTTCAGCTCGTTCTTCACAAAAGTGATGATGTCGTCCTCCAGCAGCTGGAACAGAATATTTTATGAATGACCCAATCAGACAGAAATCATGAGCCAAACATCAGATCCATATTGGACACACTGACAATCCACTGGTCTACAAAGAGCAGCATGGAGGTGCTGAACAGAATAGATGTGAAAGTAGTTGTTGCACATGTACAGACCATAAATGTGGAGTCCAGGTCTGTTTCAGTCTGCTGGGAGACCTGACCACTGGGAAGCGCTAAGCTCTCCTGGTGTACTCTGTGGAGGAATCATGAACAATTAGTTCAAGTACAAGATAACGGTCAAGACATTATCTGCTCTGCACTGTTTTTAAGAGAACTTCATCTTAAGTGTGTAAAGTTTTGTCTCTGATATATCAGGAAACATTATTTAGTGTAAATATTATTATGTTTGTTTTAAATCCTTATGGATGTCTGTCAGGTTGAGTTTTCTCTTGAGTCTTGGTTCTCTGGGCCCGGGGCTCAGTCTGGTCTGGCATAGCTGGCTGCCGGTGGAGCCTGCGGGCTTGTTGCTGTGGCAAACCATGGCAACTGCACCATGGTTGCTGGGTGGATGGTGAGATAGCCTTTGTAGTTGGCCTCCCTGGGCAGTCGTGCTCTTGCGAGGCTTCTTGATCTGTGGGACTCGGATCTCCTCCATGCCTGCTACATGGGGGCAGGGCTATGGCTCACACCCACAAGTAGACACTTACATGGAGAAACCTGAAGAATACAAGCACGCTCACACACATAGACAGGTGTGCACACAAGTGTACACACAGGTAGTCACAGACACACACTATTTTGGTTTGCTGCTGCCTCTAAACATATCATGCAGTATTAGTACTGTATGCAGCTCAGCAACATTCAATATGTATTATTTACTGTTACTTATGCTTATGCTTATGTTGGTTGTTCCTGTGGCTTCCTACTGTGTTGTTTTCTTTTTTCAGCAGGTGATCAGATTTTCCATTTCTTTTCTCACTATCTGTTGTTTCTTCTATTTTTTCCCTCTCATCATGTTTACTCTTTCCCAACTTCTCTTTCCTTCTTTCTCTTTTGCCATCCCATTGTCCGTTGTGATTGTAATAACTTTAAGAAAATCTAATAAAGTATGAAATATAAACAATGAATATCAAAATATAAGAAAACTCAAAAACACTGGGTCACATGACCCAGGACTGTGAAAGTAGCAGGAGAAAATCTAACCACGCAAGCAAACTGAAAGAGCTGAGTGTGTCTGAATGATGCAGCTGTTGGTCTGCAGTTAATATTTGGTTCCAGCTGTTGTTCATTAACAGGTTTCAGGTTTATGAGAGAGCTGATAAATCAATATGATTTCTGTTTGGTTATCTCCACACAGCAGATAAAAACTCTGTGTATAATATATCCTAACATGGAACACAGAGGAGGAGAAATGAAAAACTAACAATAATAATACTAATAATAATAATAATACATTTTATTTGAGGGCGCCTTTCAGAAACCCAAGGTCACCTTACAAAAAACACAATTAATAAAAGGAACAGTAGTCATAAAATACATAAAATAAGTTAAAATTACAAAACAGAGCGTGACAACAGATAAAATCAGCATTAAAGCGAATAAGCCAGTTTAAACAGATGTGTTTTGAGCTGTGTCTTAAATACGGAGAGGGAGTCAATATTTGCAGGAGGAAGAGAGTTCCAGAGCCGAGGAGCAGAGCGATTGAAAGCTCTGTTCCCCATAGTAATAAGGTGTGAGGACGGAACAGTAAGATGAATAGCAGATGATGATCTGAGAGGGCGGGAAACAGTGGTGATATGGAGCAGGTCACACAAATATGAAGGAGCAGATTTATGGATACACTTGTATGTAAGAAGTAAGATTTTAAAATTTATCCTGGCTTCTACGGGCAACCAGTGAAGCTGCTGAAGAACTGGGGTAATATGAGCACTTAACGGAGTATGGGTTATGATCCGAGCTGCAGAATTTTGAAGAAGTTGGAGTTTATGAAGGGACCTTTTAGGGAGACCAAATAGGAGGGAATTACAGTAATCAATACGGGATGTAATAAGACTATGGACAAGGATGGCAGCAGCATGGGGAGTAAGGAAGGGGCAAATGTATTTATCAATTTAATTAATAGTTAATCTAACATTTATTTACATATTAGTAATTCTAAGATGCTGTTTTTATCTTCTTTCCCAGGATTCTTTTATATTTTTTTGATATGTATAGCATTAGCAAAAAAAAATCCCCCAGGGGCATCTCAACCATTTTCTATTGTACAGAATTCTCCTTTATATGGAACTCCAAAGTGTTCAAAATTAAATAAATAAATAAGTCATGATGAAATAAATAACTATGTGAATAAATAAGACACAGATATGTAATGTGAGAATGATATTGTGAAATAATTGAACACATTTTGAAAAAAAGCTCATTATTGTGAAATATATT